GAGCCAGGTAGTAACAGGACACATTCAGACCCAGGCAGGGTCACAAACCCAGGTGCACCCCCAGACTGTGGAGCAAGACAGGAGCCAGACGGGAAGACATGCAGGGGCTAGAGAAGAGGGACAGAGCCAGACACAGTCAGGCAGTGGTCAGACATGGACCCGAGTGAGCAACTATGAGGCAGGAGAGACCGTGCTGGAAGGACAGCCCCAACCTGGGGCAGGCACTCTGCCAGGCAGTCAGGACGGGAGCAGCATGCACCCAAGTTACAGCGTGACAGGAGAGCAGGGGGAGTCCAACGTGGTTGTCGAGGAGTGGGTTGATGACCATACAAGGGAGATGGTGATCCAAAGGCAGGATCAGGGCACGCTGCCCTCCAGCGCTTCTTCAGCTCTGGGCGGAGAGACAGCCCAGCCCAAGGAGAGACGAGGCATCACAGCCAAGGGGCTGTATTCTTACTTCCAAAGCACCAAGCCATGAGTGCCTATCCCTGAAGCCCCACACCTAGTCCTAGAAGACAGCTGGAGAGGGGCTGCTTGTCCTTCCCTGGCCAGCCCAGTTGGCACATCCTTGGACATCAGCTCTTAATCATGGTGATTGTTTCTTAGGTCTTTCTCAATGAGACCATTTCTGCAAGGTGCTTCCAATTCTAAACTCTCTCTCACCTGCTTCCCTGTGAAGACTTTCTCAGGACCTGGAAGATATGGGACAAGTTATCCTTTTGTGCTGAGTTCTCCTTAGCTTTGTAAGTTTTCAGAGCTACTTTTCTCTCTGCCATCTGTCTGTTGCCCCATCTAATGTATCAATAAAACTTCCTGAGTAATTCCCCTAGGTGCTCCATTCAATCACCTTCTATGGCCATGTTGGGCTAAGGGCCAGAGGGGCATGATGACGAACTAGACAAGGTCCCTACTCTTGAAGAACATCCAGTTGAGAAACTATTGCGAGAGGTTTCAAGAATTAAAAGGGCCAAAGAAAGGAGATATCATACCAAATACTTGGCAAAAATGGATCAGGAAAGGTTTCTTCTTTTTCGTAATGGCCTTTAAATAGCAATTAGGATTGACATAGGTAAAGTTATTCATGGTCTCTGTTGTTGTTCTTGTTGGAAAACAACACACACACACACACACGCAAATACTATTAAACAACTTTTAGGTAAAATGAGATAAATAGAAAATGAAATTACAGAACTTCTAGAAAGTGATGCTAATTAAACTAGGTATATAAGGTTCAGAGG